AATTCACAAGAGTTGTTATACTCAGTGATTCCCGAGCTGCTCTGTTGGTTATCGTTTCAGATGAAAATCCTATATCGCAGGATATATTGGATTGTCGACATTATCTGCAAAACCTGCTTCACTTGAGAAAACTATAGTCCTCCAGTGGGTTCTTACCCACTGTGGGATTCCAGGTAACGAAAAAGCCGACTTCTTGGCAAAAAAAGGGTGCTTTTATCGGGAATAATATTTCTCGTCCTTTGCCTTTCCATACTGTTAGGGACCTTATTAAAAGATCTATCAATGTACGTGCTCAGGAAGATCTCTATAATCGTGTTTCTCATAAGTCTTGGAAGAATGCTATCCCGAATTTGTGTAATGGCCCAAGGCGTAGAGCGGTCGCTGAATTCCGCCTTGCCACCGGACATGACTGCCTACAATATCATCTTGATAGATTCGATATTAGACTAGAAGAGAAACACGCTAATGTGACAATCAAAATCGTAAAAAACAACCTTATATTTAGCGTAGGTATAATGAAACACTCAATCGATTTCGAGGGCAGCTAAAGGTCCCTCCTCATCAGGAGAAAGAAATACATAGAAAGAAGAAAATAGGAATCATAGAAACACGTGGTGCTTATCAGCACTGCACGTGGTTATAACTAGATTTTTAATCAGAGTTGCACTGGCCGCCTACTTTTACTGAGCCAGGCTGTCTGATCAAGCATAAAGAAATATTAGCGAAGTTAAAATAGGGCGAGGGCAGTTTACGCTCAAAATCTGGGAAAGCAACCACTGAACGGATTTTTATGGAGTACCAAGTTTCTATAAACAATTTGAGGGAATTTGGCAAAAGCTTTGGACAAATTGGAAGAAGAATTGGATGAAAATCAAAACTTTGCAAAAAGGAAGGATTTTTATACGAATTTTTTAATCCCACTACATGATGAAGAAATTCTTTAATAATCATTGAAGAATTTCAAATCAATTTTGAACAGAAGGAATTTTATCTAACAGAATTAATCGAAACGAATTTGGGGAAGGAAATTGAATTTAAGGAATTCAATTTCGGCAAAATAATAGAAAATTTTTGGGGGGCAATGGAAATTCAAAGTTGAATTTTCATGGCAATATAAGAAATGAGGGGGAGGAATTGGAATCTCGGATTCGGAAATCCTCTTTATAACCGTCAAAAAGTGCGAAAGTGTCGTCAACATACCGAATCCAAAGACGAAAAGATAATTTATCAAATAATTTCATCTCAAAATAGTGCATATAAATGTCAGCAAGTACCGGACTGAGAGGATTACCCATAGCCAATCCTTCAACTTGACGAAAATATGCATTTTGGAAAACAAAGTGGGTTTGACTTAGAGAAACTTTAGTAAGCGAAACCAACTCATTAATTTCAGTATGTGTGAAGTGAAATTCCCGAAGCCTAGTTTCAAGACAATTTAGTGCTCCTTCGACCGGAACATTAGTAAACAATGATTTGACATCAAATGAAACCATAATGGAACGAAGTGGGGAAATATTTTTAAGTTTATCAATGACTTCAACAGAATTTTTTACAGTGTGAATATTGTTATCAAGTAGAGGAGAAAATCTGGAAACTAAATATTTGGCCAAAGGATATGAAGCAGTGCCTATGTTGGAAACAATTGGTCGAAAAGGAATACCGGTTTTTGTGGACTTTTGGAAGAGCATAAAGTCTAGCGCAATTAGTAATAGGCGGAATAAGTGATTTCTTCTTTCTTCAACTGAGTTGGCAGAATGTGGGAAGATTTAATAGCACTTTTTACTTTCATGAGGTCCGAAGTTGAAGGATCTTTAGGGATCGAGCAGTATGGGCCTTCATTTATCAATTTAGAGACTCCAGTAATATATGTGTGTTTGTCCATAACAACGATCTGTCCGCCCTTATCAGCTTTAGAGATAATGATATTAGTATCAGAATGAATTTCACGTAAGATCTCATTTTCCTTTTTGCTAAGATTAGAACCCAAAGATTTATTGTTAAAATTACGTTAAAATTTCTTAGGGGCGATGATTTAGCTTAGAAAAATTGAAATGAGATTGAACGATTTAGGATCTATCAGATCTTCGATCCAAACCTCAATTCTCAAACGTTAAGTTTAACTAATAAATCTTTTGGAGTTCTAATCTTAGCAAAAAGGAAAATGAGATCTTACGTGAAATTCATTCTGATACTAATATCATTATCTCTAAAGCTGATAAGGGCGGACAGATCGTTGTTATGGACAAACACACATATATTACTGGAGTCTCTAAATTGATAAATGAAGGCCCATACTGCTCGATCCCTAAAGATCCTTCAACTTCGGACCTCATGAAAGTAAAAAGTGCTATTAAATCTTCCCACATTCTGCCAACTCAGTTGAAGAAATCACTTATTCCGCCTATTACTAATTGCGCTAGACTTTATGCTCTTCCAAAAGTCCACAAAACCGGTATTCCTTTTCGACCAATTGTTTCCAACATAGGCACTGCTTCATATCCTTTGGCCAAATATTTAGTTTCCAGATTTTCTCCTCTACTTGATAACAATATTCACACTGTAAAAAATTCTGTTGAAGTCATTGATAAACTTAAAAATATTTCCCCACTTCGTTCCATTATGGTTTCATTTGATGTCAAATCATTGTTTACTAATGTTCCGGTCGAAGGAGCACTAAATTGTCTTGAAACTAGGCTTCGGGAATTTCACTTCACACATACTGAAATTAATGAGTTGGTTTCGCTTACTAAAGTTTCTCTAAGTCAAACCCACTTTGTTTTCCAAAATGCATATTTTCGTCAAGTTGAAGGATTGGCTATGGGTAATCCTCTCAGTCCGGTACTTGCTGACATTTATATGCACTATTTTGAGATGAAATTATTTGATAAATTATCTTTTCGTCTTTGGATTCGGTATGTTGACGACACTTTCGCACTTTTTGACGGTTATAAAGAGGATTTATCCGAGATTCTATCTATTATGAATTCAATTGATCCAGCCATCCAATTCACTCTTGAAATTGAATCCAACAATTCCCTCCCCTTCCTCGATATTCTTATAATCCGCAATGAAACCGATTTTAGCACCACTGTGTACCGTAAACCCTTTGCAGTTTGTTTACCACCCCATGCCAAGTCATGCCACCCTGTTAAGCAAAAAATGGCTTCTTTTTACTATTATGTTTTCCGCGCGCTAAAAGTTTGTTCCTCTGAATCTTTGCTTACCAATGAACTTAATTATTTGAGAGCAGTTGCGATTGACCGTGGATTTTCTCCCGTGATTATTGATAAAGCCGTCAAAAAATTTTCAGATTCCCATCAAAGTAGACATTCCACTGTTAGAAATAATATCAATGACCTTGTCGTGCTTCCATTTTATCCTTCTGTTAGCTATAAAATTGCACGGATTCTCCAGAAATTCAATTTTCAAGTCGGTTTCTCCCCTATTAATAAAATTCACCCTTCGATTCTAAAAGATTGCGTTTCTGTCTTGAATTCTTGGGGAATTTATAGTATATATCATGTCAGTGTGGTTTAAGATATATTGGCCAAACAAAAAGAGCGTTGAAGTTTCGTATCAAGGAACATGAATCTTATGTCAAAAAAGGGGAAATTAACAAGTCTTCAATAGCGTATCATAGCTGGACTTTTAACCATAATTTTGATTTTGGGTCTGCAAAAATCATCCAAAAGGCTTCTTCCATAGGCGAATTGGATTTTCTTGAGGCTTTTCACATTCACAAAGATTTAAAAAGTTTAGTTAATGATTTGAAGTCCAATCCAGTCCTTCCTAATGCCTTTAAAATTCTACTGTCTTAATTCAATTATTTTTGCCGATAGATGGCGTTACCTCCTCGCACTTGGTACTACCAGAGGGTATAAAAAAATCCGTTCAGTGGTTGCTTTCCATTATTTGAAGTTCAGATTTTGAGCGTAATGTGCATTTGCCCTCGCTCCCTATTTTAACTTCGCTAATATTTCTTTATGCTTGATCAGACAGCCTGGCTCAGTAAAAGTAGGCGGCCAGTGCAACTCTGATTAAAAATCTAGTTATAACCACGTGCAGTGCTGATAAGCACCACGTGTTTCTATGATTCCTATTTTCTTCTTTCTATGTATTTCTTTCTCCTGATGAGGAGGGACCTTTAGCTGCCCTCGAAATCGATTGAGTGTTTCATTATACCTACGCTAAATATAAGGTTGTTTTTTACGATTTTGAGATTCGATATTGTTCCTTCTCCGATATGCACTCCATGCAGCTCTGGAGAGGTGATGGATGCCGCACATCTATCCCACTGTCCTGATCTTCTCAAAACTTTTCTCGCCGCGCGTTACTGGGAACTGGGAGGCAAGAGATATGTTAGATTAATGGACTATGTTACAGCTGGTTTTTTTTTTTTTTTTTTTCATTGTGATGTTGTATTCTATATATTTTTGCCTTCTGCTGTAACTGTTCATAATCTGCCATTTTGGAGGGGAAAAATAATAAAAAAAAAACCTTTAAAAGACTGGTGATAGCTCAACACAACCTATATCCAAAAATTATGTTAAGTATACAAAAGCTCGGTGCTTTAGGACTGGACCTATGCCGAAGCACAAGTTATATCCGAAAACGATAAAGCCGAAACGAAAGAGCAATGTATAGGTTACACACCAATAATTTAATCCGTGCTAGAGTAACAATTTCCATACTGCTCCATAATACCTAACTTATTAAGCTGAGACCATGAGCTTTATTTATAAATTTTGGACTGAAAGATCTGAGGTCAGATCTGATTACCTGTAACAAATGTCACATAACAAGATTCCAACTAACAAAATATTAGCAAAATGAAATCGCATATGTATTTCCATAAAAATGCAAAATTTCCCGTACAACGATCTCCAAAATATCAGCTCTACGATATTTACGTAATCCAATATTTTAATGAGTATTCTAAACAGTTTGTGTAATTTATGTAACTTTGTATGTAATTTTATATTATTATCTTCTTATATTTAAATTAACAACTCCGATGTATAACTTCAGTATTACTCAGAAATAGCATATACTTAGTTCAAGTATTTCATACTCTAGCTGGTTAGTGTATCTTCTTATCTCATTGGGCCAATACCTGTTTGATTCGATAGTGAAGTTTTAGGAGCTCCCATGCACGTTTACTTGTTTACCTGTTCAGGATTGTGTAAGGACCGTCCGAGGGTGACTGTAGTTTAGGAGAAACTCCTTTCCTTCGAATTGGATTCCATAACCACACTTTGTCATTTTTGTTAAATTGATGTCCTGTAGCTCTCGTGTCGAACTGGGCCTTCATCTTCTCCGTCACTTGCTGTCGAGCAAAATTGAACATGATTTGAAACCGTGCCTGGAGAATGGCACCTCAGGCGATCCGAAGAGCAATCAAACAATAAATCACGAAGGTGACGACAAAAGAGCGTCTGAGATCGAATAGCACTACGGTGGGCCAGTTAACGTGTGGTCCCAGTACTGTTGATTTCTGGAAAGAATTAGCGAGTGGTTACTAAAGGTAATTCGGTCAAACCTCTTTACCATGGCTGTGGGTGTAAAGGATTCCTTTGGGTTTTGTCTATGCCGAGTAAATTATAAAGGTCTTTTATTATAGTTGAGATAAAATTTCTTCCTTCAGAGTTCATACATCAAGGAACAAAAATGGAATTTGTCGCTCGTTCCTTTGTAATCTGGATAATTCATTGGTTGGATAAGAGTTCTTATGGTGGTCGGCAGAAACGCAACACAGATGTTTTCCATGTTTCTTAGCCCATTCTTTTATATATTAGTAGCCAGCTTATTTTCTTCTTATCCCATTTCATATATTTTTATCTCACAGGCCTAAATTTCGGATTTAAATTTAGATCTTCGAAAGTACCTTTATTTTGATATTGGCAGTTATGAGGGATTTTATAGTACTTGATTTAAAATCACCATGTTTCCCAATTGATCAATCTCAAAACATTACATTTTTAGTCGTATTTATAGGAACCGACAGAGAAATCTTTATTTAATATCTGGTATGGTGACTTCGGACAGAATACGGGATCTTCACACAGTTTAGTGAATTGCTTTGGAATTTCACGCCAGTCTTTAGAATGTGCATTATTTAGATCCTGACAGATATCAGGCTCGGTGCAGTTTTCTTATCCAATGCATGCTTAGTAGGACTGAAGTGTGTTGAATAGACTGTTCAGTCCACTTCTGTTTCCGAAAATTCTGAGAACAGCGTTATTAGTCATTACCAAAACGTCTGGGCCAATAGCATCCCTAAACAGCCTTACATACGATTCCAAGACGTCGTTCATATATTTGATGTATGAATATGTTTGATGATTCCACTGCAAACCATGCAACTGCTTCCCTGGATTTGTATGAACAAGGTAAGGCAAGTTTCGTGTTCCTGGTTCTTTCCAGTTGCCTAGAGCTGCAATTCAGGTTTTTACCTGGAGTCGTTAATAAACAGTGCAAGCTCCCATTCCTCTTGGCTGTACAGAGTATGATGAGGGTACCTATAGAAGCTATAGAAGATATACCTATATAGCTATAGAAGATGGAGGGAGTGAGACGCAAACTATCCGTGTTTCAAGCATAACGTCAAACTTCATGCAGCGATAGAACAGATGATTGGAATTTTCGGTGTCACCAAATCTTTTTCAATCGCTTCGACAACGAAAGCAAATGTTCTTCGGATTAAATTGTTAACACTGCAGATCTTTGATGACGCTGTCTATTAATTGAATGATTGCGGTTTGAAGTGACTGAAATGTATATTGAGATTTTGCGCCACCTCTATGTGCGTACGAATGAAGTGCGAGTTTTGTCTTTTATTTGACAGCTTATGATAAATAATAATCCTCAAAATCTAAATTTAAACATTCAGATTTCAGTATTAGTGCCTTGCGGAACATGTTAGCTGCGTACGTTTGAGCGTTAAAGTACTGAGGGGAAGAAGGTCCGGTTTTAATTTAGTTTCCACATAATCTAGATATTCGTTTATAAACTTAACCACTAAGAACAATTTTCTTTTTCAGATTGCTGAAGAGTGGAAGAAAAAAAAAACTTACTTTACATGCAGAGCTCTTGAAGCGAGAACCTCCTTTGGGTAGGGTAGATTTCATCTGTATAGAAGAGGGTATGTTCGTTCCTTTATAGGACGTATTGTTGTTCAAAGTGATGATGGAAGCTGGAGAAAAAATAAGAATTGTACACGCCACGTAGGGAAAGTATGAAAGATAAGGAAAGGGTACAAGAAGTGGTTTAAGCTGAAGTACCTAAGAGAATTAATTCCTTCCGGGGCCCCAGAGACAGGCTGGCAAGAGACTTCGCTTCTACAGAGAGATCTCAAGTTCTATCCTCGGTAAGTAAGTGACATTGAATTATAACTGTTAGATGTAAAATAATGTGTGATATGAATATGTTGAATTATAATTGTAAAAAAGTAATGTAAATGTATGAGGGCGGGAGCTGTAATAACGAGATTTGTCGTAAGTTATAGGTTCGACGAAAGAGAAAGCTGAGAAAAGAAAAGGGGCCCCCTAACTAGAAGAACGAAGATAGGAAATGGAAGGAGAGAAGAAAATATCCGGGTGGCACATGAAATAGCCCCGAAAAAGAGAAAAGAAGGAGATTAATTTGGGAAGAAAACGGTGCCACCCGGGAAGGGGCTTTTGTAAAATTTTTCCCATCTCCAGAAATGCATTTCGTAAACTTTAGATTTTGTTTTGAAGTTTATTTCTAGTACAAATGTTGTTATAGTCATCTGGTGTGTACAAGTAAAAATAAATTTCTTTTACGGTTTTATGAGTCTTTATTGTTTATGTTTGGTGTTGGTGTGTGTTGGTGTATTTAATTATGGCAAAGCACACGAGGGCTATCTGCCTAAGGGGAGGGATGCCTTCGTGGAGGACTTTCTAAGGGAAACTGGCTCGTATACACTTGTTTATGTTTGAGTATTCATCAAGATATTTTTTCCCGTCTAAAAGTCAGTTTATCTCAGCGTTTAAAAATCAGTTCATCAAGATAATTTTTGGCGTTTACAAATCAGTTCATCTCGGCGTTTAAAAGTCAGTTCGTCAAGATATTTTTTTGCCGTTTAAAAATCAGTTCAAGATATTTTTTTGCCGTTTAAAAATCAGTTCATCAAGGTATTGTTTCGCCGTTTAAAAGTCAGTTCATCAATATATTATTTTTCCGTTTAAAATCAGTTCATCTCGGCGTTTAAAAGTCAGTTCATCAAGATATTTTTTTGCCATTTAAAAATCAATTCATCTCGGCGTTAAAAAGTTAGTTCATCAATATATTTTTTTTGCCGTTTAAAAATCAGTTCATCAACATTTTTTTTCTGTTTAAAAATCAGTTCATCTCCGTATTTAAAAGTCAGTTCATCAAGATATTTTTGTGGCGTTTAGAAATCAGGTCATCGTCGTTTAAAAATTTTACACATTTGCCTCTAATTTCTTTAGAATATATTAACTTGCTTTATTTATGCAAGTAATTATAAATTAATTTATGAACTCGAAATATTTACATTTTTCCTATAATTCAATTCATTCTTCACAAAATCCAGCTCTTTTGTATATTGTTAACCCTCTGGCCTATAACGGCCTATCCCGAGTCTGTCTCGTGATAAAGAATTTGTGCCATAAGCAAAAGCTACGAGTCTGACTCGTGGTGAGGAATTTGTGTATAAAATGCCAAGCAATTGGAGTTATTCTACATCGAATATTTT